TATAAATTGAAAAATTTATATTAGATGAGACTATGCAATTTAAAAAATGTGCTATGAAACATACAACTAAATGAGTAATTGCCCATTGAGTATTGTCTGAAGTTTAGAAGAAAAAGCATCTGCTTAGGGACAGCCTGGCATGGGTCTGAATTCTGTTAGCAGAAAGGGGTCCTGTTAGCAGAAAGAAATTTCTGTTAGCAGAAAGGGGTCCTGATCCAGACCCTAAGAGAGGGTTCTTAGATCTTGCACAAGAAAGAATTCATGGCGACTCCATAGAGTAAAGTGAAAGCAAGTTTATTAAGATAGTAGGCCAGGCACAGTGACTCACACCTGTAATCCCAGCACTTTGGGAGGCCAAGGCAGGTGGATCACGAGGTGAGCAGTTCAGTTCAAGACTGGCCTGGCCAACATGTTGAAACCAATATAAAAATTAGCTGGGTGTGGTGGCGTGCACCTGTAATCCCAGCTACTCGGGAGGCTGATGCAGGAGAGTCACTTGAACCTGAGAGGCGGAGGTTTCAGTGAGCGGAGACAGCATCACTGCACTCTAGCCTGGGGGACAGAGCGATACTTTGCCTCGAGGGAAAAAAAAAAAGAAAGTAGAAGAATAAAAGGATGACTACTCCATAGGCAGAGCAGCAGCATGGACCACTCAGGTGCTTATACTTGTTACTTCTTGCTTATATGCTATACAGGGGGTGGATTATTCATGAGTTTTTTCAGAAGAGGATGGGCAATTCCCAGGACTGAGGGTTCCTCCCCTTTTTAGACTATATAGCGTAACTTCCAGATGTTGCCATGGCATTTGTAAACTGTCATGGTGCTGGTAGGAGTGTCTTTTAGCATGCTAATGTATTCTAATGAACATATAATGAGCAGTGAGGACACCAGAGGTCACTGTCATCACCATCTTGGTTTTGGTGGATTTTGGTCCGTGTCTTTACTGCAGGCTGTTTTATCAACAAGGTCTTTATGAGCTGTATTGTATGCCACCCTCCTATCTCATCCTGTGACTAGAATGCCCAGACTCCTAGAAATGCAGCCCAGTAGGTCTCAGCCTCTTTACACAGCCCCTACTCAAGATGGAGTCACTCTGGTTCAAACACCTCTGACACTACCACTTAGTAACTCTGTGGTTTTGGACACGTCACTTTCCTTCTCTGAGTCTTGGCTTCCTGATCTGTAAAATGAGAATATTTTCTGTTACCTAATAATGCCTACCTTGCAAGGTTGTTACAAAGATTAAAGGTTTATGAAAACAACTGCCATAGTACTTGGTACAAGGTAGTTGCTCTATGAATTTTACGTTTTGTCTTTTATTCTGACAATGCTGACATTACTGAAACATTTTTGGAATTTCTTTGTTGAGATAGTTTTCAGAGCTTGCTATAGATCATCAGACTATCTCAATGGGAGAAATCTTTTTTCTTTGAGGATGTGTTTGATTTTTAGGAATAGTCAGGTTCAGATAGCAAGATCAAGATGGTTAACACCGTTTTTGATATTAAACAAAGTTAAGTATGAATTGTTTTTTGAGACAGTTTCACTCTTGTTGTCCAGGCTGGAGTTCAATGGCACGATCTCGGCTCATTGCAACCTCTGCCTCCTGGCTTCAAGCGATTCTCCTGCCTTAGCCTCCCAAGTAGCTGGAATTATAGGCATGTGCCACCACGCCTGGATAATTTTGTATTTTTAGTAGAGATGCGGTATCACCATGTTGGTCAAGCTGGTCTCAAACTCCCGACCTCAGGTGATCCACCCACCTCGGCATCCCATAGTGCTGGGATTACAGGCGTGAGCCACCGTGCCCGGCTCAAAGTTAAGTGTGATTATAATGAGATTTTCTTTTGTAATATCAAAATTGGTACATATTCTGGCTCTCTCACAGGTGGCATTGACAGGATATTCCATTTGGCACACTAAATTCAGGGAATTAACAATCACAAAATCTTTTGATTTTGAATAGCATTCTGATAAATTAATCAGAATTAATAAACTCAGAAGAGCTGAAATCTTTAATAATATATTTAATCACAAGCTAGTAATCAGAATTTTACTTCTAGCAACAAAGAACTTAGGGAAAAAAATGATCTAAGGTGCTACCCCATATTCTTGTGCATATTCGGGGCTATTGTCTTTTCAGTTAGGTCCATGGAAATCAGTGTGGCTGAGCTGTGGCAAGGGTGGTGTTCTTTCCTAATGACCCAGAGGAGCCTGTTGCCTTTCGGAGACCTGTCCTTTGTGGTAGAGGAGGAGCCTGGAAATGGGCAGGATATAGAGATGGGATTGCAGCTTTTACAGAAGCATAGAGGGCTTGTGCAGAAAAATCCACAGGCTGAGTTTGTAGGAGCGATTGGAGGTACAAGGTAATTAGTTTACTAAAGGAAAGCATTGAAAGCAGTGGCCGGGGGGAGCACAGTCCGGAGAGGCTGGACGCTGCCTTCCTAGGGCCCTGTGCAAGTTGAACTAGGGGTCAGCACAGTCCAGGGGGAGGGTCAGTGACAATGCCCAGGTTACTATGAGGAACCTCTTATTATTTTGTTATCCAGAGGTTACTGCGGGTTCAGTGTTTTACCTCTTCATTGTATATAAGGTCGTAAATGCATATTATCCAGTAAGCTGTAAGGAGTTAGTGACATGTTAATTATTTTCAAGAATTCCGCTAGTTTGTACCCGGAATTTACCTCATCTTGTAGTGTATTTTTGTTGTTGTTACTGATGTTAGAATGATTCAGTGAGAGCATTCGATGGGGAGGGACACAAGAAGAAAGGGAAATGTGTTATTTCCTGTGGGGAGTCATTAAAAAAAACATGAATATTTGTGAATACTGGGTGCAGAGGGAGAGAAGGTTGCACAACGCCCTTTGCCACCTGGACACAGGGGAGCAGAGTCACTTAAGCCAATGGGGACTGGGCTGACTTGTGCTGGATTTCACAAGGGGTGAGGCGCCTCAAAATCTTTGTTATTGAACAATATCAGCTTTTGGGGTACTGATGTCATTTATCATTTCAGTAAAACATGGTTCTTAGGTTTTTGTTTATTTGTTTTTTGAGACAGAATCTCTCTCTGTAGCCCAGGCTGGAGTGCCATGGTGCGATCTCCACTCACTGCAGCCTCAGCCTCCCAGGTTCAAGCGATTCTCCTGCCTCAGCCTCCCGAGTAGCTGGGATTACAGATCTGCACCAGCACGCCTGTCTAATTTTTGTATTTTTAGTAGAGATGGGATCTCACCATGTTGGCCAGGCTGGTCACAAACTCTTGACCTCAAGTGATGCGCCCACCTTGGCCTCCCAAAGTGCTAAGATTACAGGCCTGAGCCACTGCGCCCTGTTGGTTCTTAGGTTTGAGATTTCAAATTCACAGCGTCCATACTTCCCTGTGGATGGTGTTCCTTTAGTGAAGCCGCCTGCTTTATGAAGTTCAGGGGTTGTTCTGCAGCCTGGTTATGGAATCACGGAGCAGAAGCCTTTGACAGCAACTATGGCAAAAAGTAAAGCTTGCTTATTCCTTTTCATTCACTGTAAATGTCAAAATCCCATTTGAATTACTGTGAAAATGCAAAATTTAAAGTTTTCAATGTTATTGAAAAAAGTCTAGAAAGAAGATATAAGCAAAATAATTTTTTTTCAAGTTTTCCTATAAATTGGTTATTGTTCATCTTCTCTGGGTATTTGATTTCTTAACTGTTGTTAACCAATTTGAAGTTACTATCTTAGCAGTGCCAGCAATGTGCATTAGCATTAGCACAAGCTCTTAGATGAAGATTCTGGAGCCCCATAGGTGACTGGAGCCATTTAAAATGCTTTTATGGTAGAAACATATTTTAGAGACCTTGATGTTAAATAGGTGATCATATTCTGACAGAATCCTTTCATTTTTGGAAGCCAAAATTTTGCCTCATGACAAAATTCTCCATTTATGATCTCTTTTAGTGTCTAATGGTGACATAAAAAATAAGTGATTTAGATAAAACAGTAGCAGAAGAAAGTAAACATCAAATTTACTTGTGCAAATGACCTGATTTCCACTGGGTAAGAAAAATGGAGGATATGTATATTAGTTTTCTATTTTTACCTTAACAAATTGCCACAAACTTAGTGGTTCAACACACCACAAATTTCTTGTCTTGCATTCTGTGAATCAAGCCCAAAGCAGCTCTCACTGGGCTAAGACAAAGTGTGGCAAGGTCTGTGTTCCTTGTGGAGGCCCTAGGGGAGAATCCTTTTGCTTTTCCAGCTTCTAGAGGCCACCACATTCCTTGACTCTCTTCACAGCCTTCTTGCATCACAGCTGGCAAGGTTGCATTTTTCTGACCGTTCTTCCATGATCGCATCTGCCTCTGATCAGAACTGGGAAACTTTCTGGTTTGAGACCTTTGTGGTTAGATTGGACCCATCTGGATGATCCAGGACAATCTCCCATATCAGGGTCCTAAGTTTAATCAGGTCTGTAAAATCCCTCTTACCATGTAAAGTAACATACCCTCAAGTTGTGAGGATTCGGATGTGGAAATTTTGGGGGGATGCGGCATGATTCTCTGGTTACCATAATATGGAATTATTTAACACAAACTTATTCAAAGGATGTATTTTTCAAATGTGTCGATAACTTGTTATCAGGTTATTTTGTTTGTTTGTTTTTTCAGACAGAGTCTCACTCTGTCGCCCAGGCTGGAGTGCAATGGCATGATCTCAGCTCACTGCAACCTCCGCCTCCCAGGTTCAAGTGATTCTCCTGCCTCAGCCTCCCAAGTAGCTGGGATTATAGGCGCCCACCACCACGTCTGGCTAATTTTTGTAGTTTTAGTAGAGAGGAGGTTTCACCATGTTGGCCAGGGCTGGTCTTGAACTCTTGACCTCAGGTGATCTGCCCACCCACTTTCACTAGGGTGTTTTTAGAGAAGAGGTGCATATATTAAAAAATAAAAAAAGCTCACAAATTTTGTTTGGATCATAATCTATTGTTAAAGCTAATTATTCTCTTTTGCTTACTTTGATAGTGATAACCTACTAAGGAGAGCAGCCTGTCAAGAAGCTCAGGTAATACTATTTAATGTGATAAAATTAAACCCCTCCTTATCTTCATTGTGCAGAAAACTGAAGCTCTTTCAGGGAACTTGCACAGTGTCTTGCATCTGTGTAGTTTGGCTATTTTTTAGCACTATCAAGATGAATCATGCTGGGAGCCAACTCTGAGTAGAACTCCAGGAAGTTAACCATCTGGTGAGGAGCAGTTCTGACACCCACCCCTGTAGACTGTTTCTGGATTGGTCCCGGGAACACAAAGCTGGACTGGTAGAAGCTCTGGGAATTTGTTTGTGTCTGCAGTTGTCTTTGTAGATCTGGCTAACCCCTGAATCATCCCTGATCTGAATAACCCCCAAGGATATCAGTTCAGAACAAGTGTTACCTCTAAAAGTCAAATCTTCTTAAAATTGTTGATTCATATTTTTAAAGTCCATCTTCAAGCTCAACTGGTCCATATCATGTACACTGTTACATTCCATGAGATTTTACTTAAATATTCATTTATATGGCTAATTAATTATAGCTGGATTATAAATCCTTTCAAATTTAAGGCCACTTTTTTGCTCCCCACTGCAAAAATGTACATTATACTTTGCAGATGAAATTCTGTGACTGAGTTGCCTTTTTGTTTTGTATCATTTGAGCTTATGATGTCAGAAATACCAAAATAGAAACATGAAAATCAAAAGTGGCAAGTGTATGAAGCATTTAGTAATAGAAGTAGGTGGCAGACCTCATGTGTGTTTCTGAAATGTTTTAATGGATGACAGTGACAATAGATACTATAAATTAATTCCTCTCTTTGATTGTTACAATAGATATTATAAATTAATTCCTCTCTTTAGCAGTTGTTACAGTAGATACTGTAATTCCCCTTTTTAGTGATTGTTATCTGGCTGTTCTAAATCTGTGTTTTAAGAATTTGATCACTTCTTTGTTTAAATTTATTATCTTTCATGTGGCTCTAAGTTGTTTTAGAAATCAATTCAAATAAACTTTAATATTAAATTAAAGGTGATCCCCGTCCCAAGCCAATCATTAGCAACTGGAAAATCCTCCTGGAGTACAGTGGTGTGATGTTGGCTCACTGTAGCCTCTGCCTCCTGGGTTCAAGCGATTCTCCTGCCTCAGCCTCTCAAGTAGCTGGGACTACAGGTGCACACCACCACGCCCAGCTAATTTTTGTATTTTTAGTAGAGATGGGGTTTCACCGTGTTGGCCAGGATGGTCTTGATCTCAACCTCGTGATCCACCCGCCTTGGTCTCCCAAAGTGCTGGGATTACAGGCGTGAGCCACTGTGCCTGACCCCTTTCTTTCACTCTTTAAGGAAGAGTAGACCTGTGTGATTGTAGGACCCTCCCTTTCTTGTTGAAGGTAAATGCCTCCACCTCTGTTCTAAATCCTCTCTCCTCATACGTTTTCAGGGATGATGTTCCTTTATTTTCTCCTTCTCGTGTCCTTCCCTTCCCTTCCCTTCCCTTCCCTTCCCTTCCCTCCCCTTCCCTCCCCTTCCCCTCCCTCCCCTTCCCCTCCCCTTCCCCTCCCCTTCCCCTTCCCTTTCCCTTTCCCTTTCCCTTCCTTTCCTTTCCTTTCCTTTCCTTTCCTTTCCTTTCCTTTTTCCTTTCTTTTCCTTGGAGTCTCATTCTTTTGCCCAGGCTGGAGTGCAATGGCACAATCTCAGCTCACTGCAACCTCCGCCTCCCGGGTTCAAGCAATTCTCCTACCTCAGCCTCCTAAGTAGCTGGGATTACAGGCACATGCCACCATGTCTGGCTAATTTTTGTATTTTTAGTAGAGATGGGGTTTCACCATGTTGGTCAGGCTGGTCTCGAACTCCTGACCTTGGGATCCATCTGTCTTGGCCTCCCAAAGTGCTGCAGTTACAGATGTGAGCCACCACGCTGGCCTTATTTCTTTCTACTATTCTAATTCTCCACTTCCCCTGCATGTTTAGTTCCTTCCATCTCACAAATGGAAGTGGATTTGTCCTTATGGCCTCTGCTGGCTAATTTTCCTATCTGTGTACTTCCTTTTACAGTCTAAATTCTTGAAAATATGATATTTAAAAACAAATTTCACATAAACTTAATGTAGTCTCACATAAACTTAGCTCACTCTGAATGTCTAAATAAGAATGAAAACAGAATAGAAATTATAATGTTCCAGAAACTTCTTACAAAGAAATAGTCTTTTTCTCTACTTCAGAAAAAAAGTATTTTTGTTTTTGTTTTGTTTTTAAAGCAAGAAATAGACAATAATAAGAAAGGCTCCAAAATGAACTGTCAGGGAGATGGCAGATTTAGAGTAAGTTATTCAATAAAAAATATTTGCATAACTTTTTTTCCTCCTGCCATGTTTACTTTGTACTTCCATACTAGAATTCTGCTTTCTTGGTTCAGGCCTAGTCCCACCATTCAAGACCCCAATTTTGGCTCATTTTGTTACTTTCCTATTCTTATTCTTTTTGTTGACTATCATTTCCAATTCAGACATAATAGCAAGAGTTCCCATTCATTTCTCATTTGGACTCCTCACATCTAGTCCTCTGCCTTTTAATTCTACCTCATCCTTGATCCTCTCTTTAGAGCTTAGAGAGGCTTTGGAATTAGAAGATGTATATTCCAGGCTTGTAATTTATCAACTCTGTAACTTTCAGGAACTTAGTCTTCCTGATTCTGGACTTTCCAATCTGGAAAACAGATTATTTTATACTTCCTTGGTTTCTGAGAACTAAGAATAATGTATGTAAAAATGCCAAATAGAAGGTGCTTAGTATATATTAGTTACGTTTCTTTCCAATTTCTCCTGCCAGTTGCTGCTATTTAGTTATCATACAGGGTTGCAAAGAAGAGAAGGCAAATAGACTATTAGGTTTATTTTGTATGTGTATAAAGATATGAAGATTAACTGGTAACACAGAGATTCTTCATGAACAAGTTTTAGTGATGAGCTGGAGAGAATATTGTACTCTGCAAACTAAAGACATAGATTAAACTTCTCTCCTGACAGACTATGGCCTTACTAATTATATGTTTATAATAAACCTAGCCATGTCTTATAGGGAAAATAAGTGTTATTTGCCTCTAGTAAATAAAGCAGGAATTTTTATTCCAATACAAAATAGAGCTTATTGTCATTAAATAATGTTACTTTTTGTTGTTGTTGATGGCATTTTCATTAATATGAGATCATGAAAGAACATTTTCCCCCAAGGTTAGATACCATATGTGCTGCAAGTAAATTTTTTTTTGGAATGGAAGAATGCATGTGACATTTACCAAATAAATAGACTTTTACTGAAAACTTTGTGCTTTTCTTTTTTAGGTGTTTGGCAATCAACTCATTCCTCCCAATGCACAAGTGAAGAAGGCCACTGTTTTTCTCAATCCGGCAGCTTGCAAAGGGTAGTGCCGTTTGTGACTTGTTATATACTTGGTTTTTTAAGGGGGAAAGAAATCACAGACTGTCAGGCAGCTAGTGAGATTCTGTGAAATTGGAAGAACTAGGTTTAATACTCTTCTAGCAATAAGATTCATTTGTAATGTAGAAATAACAGTTAAATGAGAAATAACTATAAAACTAATGGATGCTTAGCAAACTTGTCTAATTGAAGTTTAATAATCATTCCAGGATTAACACCTACAAAGATGTCTTGTTTGCTTGGAAATAGTCCCCTCGGGAGCAACTGCTGTACTGCTAGGGCGTAAATCCTTAGGCCATCTCTGTCCACAGGATGTTCAGAGATGGTCAAGAATACTGTGAGCTTCGGAGATCAGCAATGTTCTTTCCAAAAGGGATGATCCTTGAGCTAGGCCTGGGAGGAAGCAGGCAGGAGAAGACTACTCACTCTTCTCAGCTGAGGAAATGGCTCATGGGGCAGGGGCCTGGAGACAGGAGTGACCTAGTTATGGCTTTGCTATGACACAGGACAGCCTGTAACTGGTCTGGCTGGCCTGGAAAGGTCATGTGGGAATTGTGGGAATTAAGGTGTGAAGAATAATTGAGACTTGGGTATGTAATGATTTGATCATGGCAGTTCATTGATTATACAAATGAACCACACTAAAAGGTGGGGAGGCTGTATGTGGGGGTGGGGAGTGGGTGTGTGGAGATTCAAAGTCTGTTAAGGAAAAATAAATGGGCAAAACTTTTTTTTAACAATATTAGATGCAACTGTTACTCAATTGGAAAGGTGAATACAAAGACCTAAATGGCTTTAGAATAAATAATTAACTTTTTTTTTGAAAAAAAATAGTCAGAATTAAAGGGTTGAGTGTTAAAAAGTGATATCTCTTATGTCCCTAATGTCCAAGATAGTTCTTTTTGGCTTTTTGGGAATCAGAAAATCAGTAGGCTCGGTGCAGTGGTTTACGCCTGTAATCGCAGCACTTTGAGAGCCTGAGGTGGGCAGATCACTTGAGCCCAGGAGTTTGAGACCAGCCTGGGTAACATGGTGAAACTGTCTCTACAAAAATACAAAACTTAGCTGGAAAATATACAAAAATTAGACACGTGGCAGCATTTACCTGTAGTTGCAGCTACTTGGGAGGCTGAGGTGGGAGGATCACCTAAGCCCGGGAGGTCAAGGCTGCAGTGAACCATGATCGTGCAACTGCAGTCCAGCCTGGGTGATAGAGTGAGACCCTGTCTCAAAAAAAAAAAAAAAGAGAAAAAATTAGTAAATATGTATTAAATTGGATTCTATAAGATCTAAGTCAAATGACATTAAGGTAATAAGAACAACAACAAGAAAGATAGTTTGGGCTGAATTGTAAGTGGTAGGCATAATGTTGTCTGGAGTAAAACACAGGGTCTCTGAAGTCAGTTTTTCTAGTCATTTCTTGAGAGGCAGTGAGTGTGACGTCACAGACAGGAGGACACATCCTGCTTTATTTCTTTGTAATTCAGCTGTTTAATTCAGATTGTCTAAACAGACTAATTATTCTGCCTAACTGAATCATATCTGCTGGGCTTTGTTAGAGCCGCTTCCCTCCCCAATAAACACACCAGTCATACTGCCTATTGATCATTTTTGTTTAATATCAATACTAAATCATACCAACAAATGAGCAAGTGCTAATATAACACAGTCAAAATACCCAGGATAAGTAGATTGTCAGTGGTGGCCCGTGGCTGAAGATAACGGAGAACTCAGCCTGGGTCTGGGAGTTTGAGGAACCTGGTCTGTTGACTGTTTTGCTGCTTACTAGCTCTGTGATACTGTGGGAGTTAATTCACTTCTTAAATCCCCAGCTTACTCATCTGTAAAACCAGAAAGGCAATAGTACATACTTTAAAAATTATTATGTAGAATAGGGACCTTTGGTATTAAATGAGATGATGCTTATTAGGCACTATTTCCATTTCATAATAAGCACACAATGTAAGAAATATAAACTGCTGAAATTGTTACTCTCGACCATGGGTTTGGTTCAGAACAGCCTTCACTTCACTCTCCCATCCTTCCCAGAAGCTCTTATACCTCTCCTTCGGCCTACTTCAGTGTAACTGTTCTATTCCTTAGAGACCTAATAAATTAACAACTTGCTAATTTCTGATGAAACTTACGGCAATTTGTTTAAGCAATAACCAGTTATTTTGAGCTCCTGCTTCTAAGAATTATCCACATTTTTAAAATTAATAAGCAAATTTTGCAGAGCAATTTTAGGTTCTTTTTACATGTAAATGTATTTGCATTTTTAAAGATAGATTCATGTTTAAAACTATAACATCTTTATCTAAAGGTAAGCTAAAATACTGCCACTGAAGGAAAGTCTTTTCTAAAGGCGTTGTCTCCTTTAACAAGGTGAATCCCTGTGTGCTTCTAGGAAAGTCTGAAACTCTCCAGCATCCTTTTTTTTTTTTTTTTTTTTTTTAAGCTTTCACTATTTAATTGCACTATTTTTGTCATCATGCCTCTGTCCTGACACGTTATTTATAATTTATCATGTAGCTGTTTCATTATGTAGTACTGGTTTAAAACTACATAAGAGCTTTAAGAAATAAGATAACTGTGTGTTTAGCATTAATAAATAATACATAAAAGAGTAATTATTTTGTGTGTGCCTGAGTCTGGAAATTGCTATAAGTACCTAAGGTTTTTATTTAGCCTCAGTGCTATCTCGCCCTTAATTATGTGATAAATAATGTATTTCTTACTAGTAACACTTGTTTTTCAATCTTTTATATTAGAACATTAGAAGGAAAAAAGTCTTCACCTTCATTTTAGAGGTTTTCTGAACGTATAACATCATATAAAGATGTGAATAAAGACCCAAATATTCTAACCTGATTTCTTAAACTAACTCAGAGGAGGTTACAGATTTGTTGTGATTGATATGGCAGATTGAGACTTCTTCAGAATTTTGCTTTTAGGAAGTAGATCTGATCCACTTCCAACTGATCCTTTCCTATCAATCTAGTAATGAAAGCAACCCTGGAAGGAAAATCGTTTGTAGTATCACTAGCTCAGTGCTTTAATGTTGGGTTAAGCCCCCAGAAATGTTGAGCTGGAAAGGAGTAATTATTTACCCTTTTATGTTCATTCGAATAATCATTCAGAACAGTGGAAAGGTAGAATATATTTAATTTGCTTATTATAAACTCAGGCCTTTGGTTTGAGATATTCTTTTGGATGGTTCTTGTGAAAATTTGTGCAAGCCTCTCAATTTCTATTTTAATTCATAATAAGAAATGCTTTGTGTTCTATATGCCATTTGGTGGTTCTTTTTAGTTTAAAGAATATTGAGTTTGGCTTGTGCATAACTATACATGTCCCTCATTAGCTGCCTTTGTAGCTAAATATAAAATGTCTCTTCTCTAAAATATCCTTAACTTCTTGTATAAAGTATCCTTAAGGTCAAAGGATACATCCTTAGTTTAAAAATAATATCTTTTTTAGAAAGACATCTAAGTAAATGTGGATATAAAACTTAGGTGTTTGACATTGACTGAAAGTACTGGATTTTTTTTCCCTTATGTAATAGTTGAAATATTTGAGTAAAAGACAGGTCAACTAATTGGTATGTTTTAACATTAGTTTGACTTTGAGACTATGCCATTGGTGGGAGAGATTGTTTTGCAGAAGTTGCAAAACAATCTCTAGATCCCTACAGACTGTGTTTTTGAATTCTGACCTGAATTGGACAAGAGTTCACTGACAGAATGATATGCATAATACTTTTGAAATATGCAAACTCTTTGGAGGCTGTTTTTTCTCTTATTATAAGACATCCATGTTATTTCCTTTTCCTTAGAATTTACATCTCTACGTTTGGGGCAGGTTTATTCATTCATTTGTGCATTAATTCATCAGATACTTAGTAAGTACTTTCTAAGTGTGCCATACATAATCCTAGAGGTCAGGGGATTCAAGGATTAATAAGATGTGGTATTTATTTTTGGAAAGCTTCCAGTCTAGTCCTGACAGCAGTCTTGGAAGTCTGTAATCACCATACAGTGTGAAGGTCACGAATAGAGATGTGTATAAGGTACTCGGGGAGCACAGAGAGGGCATGACCGTGCCTGGGAGTTTCAGACAAGCTTCTGGTGAATTAGTAGTTTTGTCTGCTTTGTCCTGTTGTGTTCCTAGCTCCTCCACCTGTGTCTATCACAGTAGGTACTCAATGAATACTTGAGTGAATCAAGCATTGTTGCCTGAATGGAACCATATCTAGTGTTCGTTCTTCCCCTAGAGGAACTACTGTGTGAACTATAGGCCTCCCAAATGGATAAGAGCTTATTGCATTAGATAAACGGCAAATTCTCAGAGGCCCCAGGTGAAAGGTTTTATTTTTCCATGCATATTAACTCATTACTTGTTGTTAAACTTTCTGTACTTGAACAAATAGAGGAAACCCATATTTCATAGTCTTTCTTCTTCTGCCCTGAAGAGGATTGTAAGGCTTTTTGTTCTTCTCTTGATAACCTGTGTTAAAATGTTTGTATTTTTTCCTTTGTTTACAGAAAAGCCAGGACTCTATTTGAAAAAAATGCTGCCCCGATTTTACATTTATCCGGCATGGATGTGACTATTGTTAAGGTAAGAATGGCTCCTGAATATTTATTTCACCCAAACAACCGCGTCTTATAACAACCTCTTCTCTTGGCTTCTTAGCAAAAATTGCTTGTCACAAGATCTAAGAAATTAATGTTGTATCCTGTTCTGACAATTAATAAATGTAGTTTTGTTTTTTTCCAAATAGTATCAGCTTTTCATTTTCAGAATAGGATTGGATGGAGGCTTGGAGAACTTGATACCTTTCATCTAAGAGATAGGATGTGGAATTACATCTCTTGGAAGATGAAAGTTGTTATAGCTGTAAGAATTCTTTTCCTGAAAATACACAACCTTCAAGTTTGAGTAATTAATTTAATTTCTTAGTAGTTCCACAAACAGGTAAACCATTTTCTCTCTGATAAGGAATTATCTCTGGTGAAGAATTTTAAATGGTAAAGCTTTAGAATTTGTGAGATTTCGTTAAGAAAAGGAGGCAAGCATAAATTACAGGCAGTTGTACTGTTTCGAAGATGCAGGACTCTACTTGTTGAATTTTAAATGAGATATATGTGGGTAAGTATACACATGTGTATATAGTGAAAACCTCTCTTATGTGGTTATAAGTCTGTGGTTGACCAATTTCTAATATTGTACACTTCCAGGAAATCATAGAAGTTAAAAAGGATCAGTTAGTCTCATTTACCATGCAATGTTGAACCCTGTTTTCCAACTTTTCTGGCATGGTTTTCCAGTTGTTTGTCTCTGGGGAGAGCAGAAAGGGGAAGAAAACTAACATATATTTGAGTACCTGTAATGTGGCAGGTAGGAGAAACCTTAGTATGGTTATGTGAGACTGATGTTTGTTTCTTCAATGATTGGTGAAACTCACTGGTAAAACCATCTGGATCTGGAGCTTTCCTTGAGGGGAGATTTTCTCGTGTGTGTGTGTGTGTGTGTGTGTGTGTGTGTGTGTGTGTGTGTGTGTATGTATGTAGAGACAGGATCTCACTTTGTTGCCAAGGCTGGTCTCGAACTCCTGGACTCAAGCGATCCCCCCACCTTGGCTTCCCAAAGTATTGGGATTATAGGTGTAAGCTACCATGCCCAGCCTTTTTTATCTTTTTTGAATTTTCTTTGTACATTAAATTTCTTTAACAGTTCTAGAAGCACTCAGATTTTATTCTTGACTTAATTTTTGTAAGGTAAATTCTTCAAGGAATTTGTTTCATCTAAATTTTCAAATTAATTGACATCAGGTTGTTCATAATGTCTTCTCTTTAATTTAAATTTCTATAGCATGTGTAATGTCTCATTTTCATTCTCAATATTGTTTATTTGTACCCTCTCTTTTTCCCCTCAGTAATCTTGTGAGAGGTTTGTCAATTAGCCCTTGCCATGAACCATTTTTTGGCTTATTGATCCTCTTATTTATATGTTTCATTCATTTCTGATCTTTTTAATTGTTTCCTTCATTCTGCTTTAAAAAAATTTTTTTCTGCTGTGCTTTTTCTGATGTTTTAACTTTGTGGCTTATTTCATTTTTACCTTTCTTTCTTAGTGTATGTATTTAAGCTACAGATCAGCTCTACTGCTTCAGCTGCATCCTATACTTTTTGATACATAATATTTTTATTATTTATTTTTAAATATTTTTGAATTTTCCTTGTGACTTTTCTTGATCTACGTGTTTTTGAATTTCCAAATCTAAAGTTTTTCTGATTGTCTTTGTTAGTGATTTCAGACTTAATTGTATTTTGGCCAAAAAAATGAAGTCTATAAAATTCTAGTATTTTAAAGTTTGTTGAGATTTGTTTTATGGTCCAACATGTGCTCTGTTTTCATAAATGTTGTATCTATGTCTAAAAATAGTATATATCAGTTATTGGGCACTATGTTCTTTATATATTCATTAAGTCAAGTCTGTTAACTGTGTAGGTTCAAATCTTCTATGTCCTTACTGATTTTTTCTTCTGTTTTAACTATATAAATTATCAAGACGGGGTGTTAGAAATCTCCCACTATAATTGTCGATTTGTCTATTTCACTACATAGATTTGTCCATTTTTGCATTTTGTATTTTGAGACTATGTTATTAGATGCACTAAAGTTTCATATTATTTCATTTTTCTTACATTTTGACCCAGTCATAGAATGACTATTTTTAGCACAAATACTGCCTTTTGTGATAGTCTGTCTTATCTAGTATTACTGGCAATTTACACTTGCTTAGTTTTAGTTTTTGCCTGGTATAATTTTTATATCCCTTTATTTTCATCTTTTTTCTCTCCTGAGATTTTAGATGTATTGTTGATAAAAGCATGAAAGCAGGATATTGTAAAGGCCATTTTCTCATCTTTTGACTCGACTGTTTAATTCATTCCAACATTCTATACCAGTTATCTATTGCTACAGAACAAACGGCCTCGCTGTTTTTCTGCTTATGATTCCATTGGTCAGCAGTCTCGCCTGGGCTCCTAGTGGCATGGCTGAGGAAGGGTGGTCTTCGATGACTTTACTCACATGTCTCCAAGTTGATGCTGGCTGTCCTCTGGCTCGTGTAGTCTCCACTAGGTATCTTCACATGGTAGCTCGGTGCCTGAAGTCAGTTACAGATATCCTCTAATTTTATCCCTTAGTACTTTTATATGTATTTTTAAACAAATAAGAATACTTTTATATTTATCTACAGTGCCATTTTCATACTTAGCAAAAGTAACGATTCTCTTTTATCATCTTACAATATCTAATCCCATCTTATACTATCAAATGTCCTGTGACTCATGTATTTGTAATTTTTTCCAATTTAAGATATTTATCAATCGTGTGCAAGTACTAATATGTACATTACATATACAGAAAATAGACATTTAAAAGGATGAGATTAAAAAATAAATAAAAATACTTATGTTTACTTTTTATACCTCAGTAGAAACTACTGGTCTTTACAGGGTTTGTTTTCTTTCTTTTGAATTAGCTTCTATTTTGAAATAATCTCAAACTTATAAAAGCACAGAAATAATACAAATTCCCATATCACTTCACCCAAACTCCTCAAATACTGTATTAACATTTTACTATGTGTACACATGCTCTGTCTTTTCATGTATGTGTGTGTATATGTATGAATGTGTGTGTGTATATATATAAGTATATATATACTTATATATATACACACACATATTATTTTCTGGCTTGAGAGTAAGTTGCAGAATAATGTTCCTTTATATCTAAATATCTATATCCTAAAAACAAGGGCACTCTGTTACATAACTGCAAGAACAGTTTTATCAAAATCAAGAAATTAGCATTGGTGTACTATTATCTTGTAGAATTTTTTTTTTTTTTTGAGGCAGAGTCTCATTCTGTCACCAGGCTGGAGTGCAGTGGCACAATCTCAGCTCACTGCACCCTCTGCCTCCCAGGTTCAAGCGATTCTCCTACTTCAGCCTCCTGAGTAGCTGGGATTACAGGTGTGCGCCACCACACCCAGCTAATTTTTGTATTTTTAATAGAGACTGGGTTTCACCATGTTGGCCAGGATCGTCTTGATCTCTTGACCTCATGATCTGCCTGCCTCGACCTCCAATTGTTCCATGAATGTCATTTATGACAAAAGAGAAAACACTTTTTCTTGTTCTGCATCCAATCTGGGGTCACATGTTGAATTTAGTTGTGATATTTGTTTAGGCAACTTAAAAAAATTCCTCAGTTTTTTTTTTTAAGAACGTCCTTCAGTTTGGGTTTATCTACTGTTTTGTTATAATTAGATTCAGATTATGTAGTTTAGCGGAAGTACCACAGAATGTTGTGTCTTCCTCAATGCATAATACATGTAAGAAAGTCCTGTGAACTCTTTAAATTTTTAGCTCGAGATTTTTCAGATTATCCAGGTAGCATGCATTTGGGTTACTTATATAAGGACTGGCCTAAAGTTGTGGATTCTCAGGGAAGATGTTTATCCCTTCACTTAGCACCAAAGTTCAGAACACGAAGGTTTCTTTGCAGCTCTCTGGGAATCGACTAGGAGTATGAGTGAGTCAACCTTGTTTTTATTCTCTGTAAACTGCACTTGCTGTCTTTTGGGTCCTCATTTATAGTGGGGTGTGGTTCTGTACTAGATTCACTAATCTTGAGCAGGTCCTGGGATTTTTGTTTGCTTTTCCTAGAACCTGGTAAAACTTAGAAAACCAACATTCAGATCTACCTGTTTACTATTTTGCCCTCAAAACATTTACTGTGTAGGTGCTAGTTTACCTGTTTTGCCCTCAAAACATTTACCTGTTTTGCCCTCAAAACATTTACTGTGTAGGTGCTAGTTTTATATTTAGTGTTCCTTACTTTATTCTCATTTATTGATGCATCAAAGGTGTTTTCATTATTTTACTCAGTAGCTTTAATTTTCAGTGGCAGGGTACCTAGCCTACCATTCTTTTAGAAATGGAATTGCAGCACTTCGCATAACTGGTTTTATTTAAATCACGTAAAGCTCAGTGAAGTTGAGTGTTATCTTTATTTCGTGAATGAGGAAATCGAAGATACAAACATCTAGAAACCTCCTCAGTTATACAATTAGTTGTGACAGAGCTCATTTAAACCCAGGTCTGTCGACTCTAAGGCATGTGCTTTCTACGGTAGGCTGTGTCTCCCATTTGACATGAAACCTCCAAGACAATCTTTTTCATCTTAGGATAGCACTATTAGAATATTCTTCCTAATTTTGAGAAGAAATCTGTTTCCCAAAAGTTTTTACACATAGGTCAGTGGTTTTCATCTCTGGCTGAATATCAAATTACCTGGAAATGTTTAAAAATATAACTTATACCCCAGTCACACTCCCTAGATATAACTAATGTGGAGTGGAATCTGTCTGTATTTACAAAATAATTTCATTCATTCATTCACTTGTTCATTTGTTTATTCCTTCCCAGGTGATTATAATGTGTAGTTGGATTGAGAATCATTGACTTCAGACTTAGTTCTATACCATGGGTTCATGTGAAACAAGCCTAATCTTTCTTCTGCAAAATAGTCTTTGGAATAATAAAGAATGTCATCCTAATGCTCCCTTGAGCCTTTTGTGGTTTAAACATTTCCAGTTTCTTCACAGGGGTGATGGTTTCAAATCTGTCACATTCCTGATTGTTCTCTTAGATATTCTCCAGTAGTGCCCAGAAATGAGGTATGGGCTATCTAAGGAAGAGTAAAGCAAGACCATCAAGTCTCCTGTTCCATATACTATTCTTTCAAACAGCTCAAGCGCAGACTCTCTTGTTGCTGTCGATATATCATACTTGTGAGTCATACTGGACTCATTATCTTGTTTGCTATGTACCATCAGGCCACTTTATTAAAAAGTAGACTTTTTTAGAGCAGTTTTAGGTTTAAGGAAGAATTCAAGAGAAATCACAGAATACCTGTATTCCTTCTCTCCCCCACCCACAATTTCCTGTATTATTAACATCTTGCATTAGTGTTACACATTTCCTACAATCGATGCCATTGTTGATGCATTATCATTAACTCAAGTCCATAGTTTTCATTTGCACTTGCTCTTTGTGTTGAACAGTTCTATGGGTTTTGACAAATGCATAATGCATTGTGTTCACCATTATATTATCAGACAGATTAATTTCACTGCCCTAAAAATCCTCTGTGTTCTTCTGCTCTACCTATTCATCCTTCCCTACACAGCTGATGTTTTTACTGTCACCATATTTTTGCTATTTTTAAAATGTCATATAGTTGGAATCATACAGTATGTAGTCTTTTCAGATTGGCTTCTTTCACTGAACAATATGCATTTTAGGTTTCTCCATTGTGTTTTCATGGCTCATTAGCTCATTTCTTTGCTAAGCAATAGTCTATTGTCTGAATGTGCTACAGTTTATCCTTTCACCTACTGAAGTATGTCTTGGTCACTTCCATTTTAGCAACTATGAATAAAATTGCTATAAACACTAACATGCAGGTTCTTGGGTGGACATAAATAAGTTTTCCACACATTTGGGTAAATGTCTAGGAGTGCTTTTGCTGGATAATATGGTAAGACTATGTTTGGTTTTATTGGAACTGCCATTCAAAGTGGCTGTACCATTTTGTATTATTACCGCCCGTGAACTAGAGTTCCTGTTGTTCCATATCCTCGTCAGTCTTTGCTATTGTCAGTGTTTTGGATTTTAGCCACTGAAACAAATGTATAATGAAATCTCATTGTTTTAATTTGCAATTCCCTAATGACATATAATGTTGAGTGTATTTCCATATGCTTATTATCCATCTGTAGATCTTTGGTGAGGTGTCTATTCAGATCTCTGCCCTTTTAATTGGGCTGGCTTTTTTTTGTTGAGTTTTAAGAGTTATTTGTATATTTTAGATGCAAGTTGTTTGCTATGCATTTTGTATATATTCTCTCTCAGGCTGTGGCTTGTCTTTTTATCCTTATAATCGTGTTTTTCATAGAGCAGAAGTTTTAAATTTTAATGAATTTTAATTTATCAATTTGTTTTTTCTTTCATGGATCTTGCTTTTGGTGATGTATCTAAAACCTCATCACCAACCCCAAGATCACTTAAATTATCTCCTTTGTTATTTTACCTTTAGGCCTGTGATCCATTTTGAGTTAGTTTTTTGAAAAGTGTAAGGTCAGTGTCTAGATTCTTTTTCTGGGAGGGGACAACTGTTAGGCCACTTCTTTAATCCTTCCTCTTTTAGTGCATTTGGGATTTTTTTTCTAAGATCAGAGCCTCACATATATTGTTATCTTTATTGTCTTCGAAACTATGGTCTGTCAAATCTGTCAAGATCTTTTAAAATTTTTATTCTTTTATTCATATATCTTTTCACATTTATTAATTTGTTTTTACAAATATTTATTTAGTGCCCACTATGAGCTAAGCCTTGTTCTAGGTATTGATATAGTCTTAACAAAATAAATTTCCTGCTCGTCCTTCTGGTGATCAGCTCCCATCTTGAAGCTATTCAGGGACCCACCAATCACCTCATTAGCACAAACTGGCAAGATTGAGAGAGGCTTGCCATGAATAACGAAAGATGTTTTTATCCCTCAGGAAATTCCAGGGGTTTTAGGAGCTCTGTGCCAGGAACCAAGGACAGAGACCAGATATATATATATATTTTTATTTATTTTCCTCCTGAGACAGAGTCTTATTCTGTCGCCCCACCTGGAGTGCAGTGGTGCGATCTGAGTTCACTGCAACCTCCACCTCCCAGGTTCAAGCAATTCTCGTGCCTCAGCCTCCTGAGTAGCTTGGATTACAGGTGTACATCACCATGCCTGGCTAATTTTTGTATTTTTAGTAGAGATGGGGTTTCGCCATGTTGGCCAGGCTAGTCTCAAACTCCTGACCTTGTGATCTGCCTGCCTTGGCCTCCCAAAGTGCTGGGATTACAGGCATGAGCCACCACCCCTGGCCCAGATATTTATATATATATAAAATATATATATATATATTATTTATATTATTTATATATATATTTTATATATATAAATATATATTATATATATTTATATATATATATAATGCCACAGGTGCTTGAGCCCATCTGAAATCCAGGCATTTAGTTTTTATCTATTAGTATGTATAGTGTGATACCAATTGGAGGGAGTGTTTCCTATTTTAATATTAGTTGCATTATGTCTATTGAAATTTAGTGTTTAGTTTTAGAGGTATACATATTATTGGTGGATTAAATGGTTCACTTAAGTCTGTGTATGTGTCTGAGATCAAATGGTGTCAATAAAAATGGTAAGTCTTAGGCATTGTTTTGTGACTACTTTGAATCATACCTGTATTTCTTTATATATGGTCATAACAAAACAATAATAACCTCCTTTTATTTAGTGCAATACTAGTTATGAACATTTACCTTACCAGTTGCTTTACAGACTTACCAGTTGCTTTACAGACTGCTTTACAACTGTTTTACAGAGAAGCTATCATTATTCCCTCCCTCAACATACATAATTTCAGTGATGAGGAGATTAAGATCCATAGAATTTAAGGTCACTCAGTAAAAAGTAGAAGGGTTGAGATTTAATCTAGGTCTCTTGGGCTCTGACATCTGTGCTCTTGTCATTACATCTGCTTCTCCCTATTTGTATGTACAGTTGACTTCCTATAAAGGATGTAATAGAATCGGCACTGAACTGGAAATGATGCCTTTGACTAGCTAGCTGTGTAACAGACAAATTATTGGGTTTGAATTTTATTTTCAAAGTAAAGAGCTGACTAGATGGTTTCTGAGGTCCGTCTGGCTCTAAAAGTGTAAAACTGTAACAACTATACGTAATTGCTTTGATAGCTATTTTTTTCATGTCTATCAATTATGTAAAATTTATGAAGAGAGTCAATGTAAAACTTTAAAGAAGATATCCCACATTTTTAAACCTTTAACCATGTGGCTCTAGGTTGATAAACTTATCAAAGGCTTCCTTGGTATTTCAGACAGATTATGAGGGACAAGCCAAGAAACTCCTGGAACTGATGGAAAACACAGATGTGATCATTGTTGCAGGAGGAGATGGGACACTGCAGGAGGTATGACTATTTTTCTCTTTGAAGCTATTTTGAAGGTGAGAAAAATGGAAATTAAATCCTAGAGCAATGGTATGTTGTAATTTAAAGAAATTATTCATTATTTTCGGATTGTTGCTCTCTAAAGCTAGGATGGCTTTAAATTTTTCTCATGCACTTCCATTTCATTGTTTTTGTAAATCCTCTACCCAGCACATAGAAGGATTTTCGTATTATCATATTTAAGTTTGATAATATTAATATAATAGAAGAAAAAATGGTGGCAGATGGGATAATCTTGTTATATTTTGAAGACTCTTATGAAATAGCCCTGTTTGTGATGGAATCATTAGTTTCCATCATCAGGTATGTTTCTTATAAAATAAACAAATAGAGATTCACCTATCCACTCTCATGTCATTTCCATTACATATAGTATTATACCACATTAATAGGAAGAGGTATACATGTTAAGATGTATGCATCTGCTTTTGTTTTAATATTGCAAATTCTCAATGAGATACCACTATGCACTTATTAGAATGGCCAAAATTTCAGAACACTGACGATATCAAATGCTGGCAAGGATGTGGAGCAACAGGAACTCTCACTATTGGTAGGAATCCAAAATGGTACAGCCACTTTGGAACAGTTGGGTGTTTTCTTACAAAACTGAACACACTGTTAACATACAGTCCAGCAATCATGCTCCTTGGTATTTACCAAAGGAGTTGAAATCCTGTGTCCACACAATTGCACATGTAGCAGCATTCTTCTTAATTGCCAAATCTTGGAAGCAACCAAGATGTCCTTTAGTAGGTGAATGAATAAGTAAAGTGAGGTATCTTCCGACAATAGGTATTATTCAGCACTAAAAGGAAGTGAGCTATTAAGCCATGAAAAGACATGGAGGAAACCTAAATGTATGTTACTAAGTGAAAGAGGGTAGTCTGAAAAGACTACATACTGTGTGATTCCAACAATTTGATACCTGGAGAAGGCAAAACTATGGAGGCAGTGAAAACATCAGAGGTTACCAGATGTTGAAGAGAGGGATGAATAGGCAGAGCACAGAGGATTGGTAGGGCAGTGAAACGATTCATTATGATACCGTAAGGGTGAATACATTTGGGTTATATACAAATTTGTTTAACACAAATTTTGTGTATTTGTTATACACAAATGTATACGTGTTATACATTTGTGGAAACCCGTAGATGTCCAACACCAAGAGTGAACCCTAATGTAAGCTATGGACTTTGGGTGATGATAATAATGTGTCAATGTAGGTCCATCAATTGTAACAAACGTGCCACTCCGGTGAAGGATGTCGATTATTGGGGGAAGGTTCACGTATAGGAGGCCAGGGGGATATGGGAAATCTCTGTATTTCTCTCAGTTTTGCTGTGAACCTAAAACTACTTTTAAAACATAAAATTTATTAATAAAGATACCCTTAATGCTTACTTTGGTCCATTAAGGACAATAAGTATGTTACCCTGCAAGTACTCTTCTTTTCTAGCAGCAGAGTAGTGTATTCATTGTATTTTGGAAACCCCTGAAGAGCCCAGTGCAGGTGATCCCACTCACTGCTTAATTATTCAATCCTGTATACTATAATTTACATTCATACCTCATTTCTGATTGCCTGTTGTCCCCATTTGTTGGTTTTACCAGTGTTCAGGGATCAGAAGCTAATAGCAGAGTACTGTCCTATGTTTGACTTAATTTAGTAAGCTTCTTTTAAAAAGGCTGTGCTAATGATGTTGTAATTGTTTTTATGGCTTTTTAATGAAGTGTGAAGAATATTGATAGCATGCCTACAAAGAAGGAAGTAGACCTCTCAACAGCCCCGTTTATTCCTGAAATTCAGTGAGGCAGGAGAAGATGAAGGGAGGAGACCTGGGTCAGGTTTTACTTTACAAAATGTTTTTAAAGAAATTGTGTATTTGGTATAATTACAGTCATATAAAAATATGTACTGATTAGAAAAAGGATTGGAGGGAAGTATATCAAATATAAACAAGTGATTAATAATTGGTTATCTGGGGCCGGGTACGGTGGCTACGCCTGTAATCCCAGCACTTTGGGAGGCCGAGGCAGGCAGATCACGAGATCAGGAGATCGAGACCATCCTGGCTAACACAATGAAACCCCGTCTCTACTAAACATACAAAAAAAAATTAGCCGTGCATGGTGGCGGGCGCCTGTAGTCCCAGCTACTCAGGAGGCTGAGGCAGGAGAATGGCGTGAACCCAGGTGGCGGAGCTTGCCATGAGCCAAGATGGCGCCACTGCACTCCAGCCTGGGCGACAGAGCAAGACTCCAAGACTCCGTCTCAAAAAAAAAAAAAAATTAGCTGGGCATGGTGGTGGGTGCCTGTAATTCCAACTACTGGGGAGACTGAGGCAGGAGAATCGCTTGAACCTGGGAAGTGGAGGTTGCAGTGAGCCTAGATCCAGCACTCCAGCCTGGGTGACAGAGTGAGACTCTGTTGCAGAAGAATAATATAATAATAATAATTGGTTATCTGGCATGGTGGAATTATGAGAAATTTTTTTATTTAGGTATTTTTCACAGTTTTACAGAATATTGTCCTTCATATTTGTCAATAAGAACGATTTGTTAAGTGCACACTCTCTGAGTGTAGCAAAGTGCTTTTTTTCCTGTAAATGTACTTTATAGTAGTAAACTAGGGTTTTCTGTATAATTGATGTATACATCATATTTATACCCATTTTATAGAACTTAAAATATGTTTTTACTAATACGACTTGGAGTTTTTATAATCATTTTATCTTAGCCTTTATTGTATTGTAGATCAATAATAAAAAATAAAATCTAATTTAGCGCTAACTGTATTGGAGAATACTATATGTTTAAAGATCCAATGCATCTTTTAACAGAGCTTCTAAGAAGAAAACAGGAATAAGTTTATGGTCTATGAAAATTGAATCCAATTCTTTATTATACAGGAAATACATATTGTTTATAATAATGTTTTATTATTGCATTTGTAGGTTGTTACTGGAGTTCTTCGACGAACAGATGAGGTGAGCATTTAAGAAAGTAATTGCATTTTAACTTTTATTTTTCTGTTCTTTATTGCTCTTCTTTCTTTTACTTTTTTTTCCATTTTATATTTTAAAATGGGTATACATTGTGCTTTCTTGAATTTTAGAAAAGAAAATGCTGCTACCCATGTCATAGAACACATATATTAACACATGGGGACTTTTCTGGTTTGGTAATTGATGGTATCCGATAACTTTGACAATGGTTATTTAAAATTTTGTTATGGAATATTTTTTTCAAAGAACTTTTTTGTAAAGAAATTGTGGCATAGTGGGAATCATCTAACAGTTAAAATGAATGAACTAAATGTATAAATATCTACATGGCTAAATCTCAAAAGTATTGAATTCAAAAACAGCAGGTTGCCCAGGTATGTTATGCATTTCCACAATGTTTTAAGATTCAGAAAACAATACTATGTATTGTTAATGGATGCCTAGATATGTAGCAAAAGAATAATAATGTGGATGGAAAGGAATCACACCAAACGCAGGATAATGGTCTCCTCTGGGAGGGGAGAGAGGAGAATAGGTTTAGAAGGGACTTTCATTTTTCTATCGTTTTATTTCTTAAAACATATGAAGCAAAAAGGTAAATGTTGACATTTGTTAAATCTAGGTTGTGGGCACATGGATGTTTTTGTAACATTATTTTATGCACTTTTCTACAATAGCTAGAAGATCCTTCTCAGTCCCTTTGGTAATAATACATTGTGCTCAGAATTGTTTTGAACCTTACAGTATCTATTGTATGTGTGGCATTTAATTAAGTTAACTACTATGCCAGTACCATCTATTACTTGAACTTGTTTATTCTCTTTGCCTTATTTGTACTTAAGATAGTTTATAAAGCACCTTCACCTATCATTGGTCACTGTATAAATGGTAGACATTTTTAGTTGAATATTATCTGCAACTTTATCAAATAATGTGACAACGTAATACAGTCTCTGTTGCACTAGTGCATTGATCTAATATCTTCAAAACCCTCATTATCTTAACCAAATTTCTTTCAAACAGTTGTCATTAATGAGTACTGAAATATTTCTTCCAAATTCTGAGTCATTTTGTTGTCATTGACTACCTTGTTTTAGAAATTACCCACCTAGCTTTATTTGATTACTGGTCTAGGGATGTGGGAAAGGAGATGGGGAGGCAGATACAGGGTCGTTATTTGTCATAGTGGACACACCTGTGCTTCTCCACTAAGCCTGATTTTCTGATCATAACAATAAAACTTTCTTCTTCTTTTTTCCCCGTAGGCTACCTTCAGTAAGATTCCCATTGGATTTATCCCACTGGGAGAGACCAGTAGTTTGAGTCATACCCTCTTTGCTGAAAGTGGAAACAAAGTCCAGTAGGTTGTCAATGTGGGGAATTAGCATTTGTGGGTGAGCGAGCCTGGGAATGAAAAATTTGTGTATATACTGTAACTTTTTTGAGTTTTGATAGCCTGAAACTTCAAATAATTAAGAGGAGGACCTAGATCAGAGTTCAACCTTTCAGTTCATTGGGAAGTTTCCCAACTTGGTTGTGGGACTCTTACGATAAGTCTCTAGGTCAGGTGGAGGTGAATACTTGATGTACTTTTGTCAGTTGTGAAGATAATATCCCTGACCTAAACCGTTTTTGTGCTTGTGCATTGTAAGATTCTTTAGTGAAGACAGATTTGTGCTGATCATTTGTTTGCTTTAAGTATACACAATGACAAATAGCAAGTCCCTTGTGAAGATTGAACTAGTAGCCTGGCTTCATTATCTTGATATTTAAAATAGATAAAACCTGTAAATATAGCCACATCCTTTTGGGAATACCTAAAGTGGTAGGCAGTGTAGACAAAGTAGATAGGGAAAGCAGTGTAATTCTGACATCTAAATTAAATTGCTGTGAGTCTCACAGTGTTTTGGGCAGTCAAGCAAATTGTTGGTATCACTGTTGTTTTTGCTTGAAGGCATTATGTAAACAAAGCTCTGCTCTTTCAAGAAGTTAGGAATTTTGAATTTGAGCTTTGACAGTGATTAATAACATCACTTTGAGCAAACAGTTGTCAAGAAGACCCAGATAAATGGAGAGAGAGCTGAGAGATCAGTTGGCTGATGGTTAACGTAAGCTTTGTGACACATTGGAGGAAGTCAATAAATAAATATTTGTTGCATGATTTAATGAAAATTTTCTCATGATTTTTCTGGTTATAATCTTCTAGAATAAATAACAATAATACTCAAGTGATTTTCTGTTTTGGTTAAGGAATTTCTTTTTCTGCTTTGGAATTCTTTGATTAGGCTGACTTTTGTGAATTTATTTTTGCTATTGTAATTTTAGGAGTCAACTGTATATCTTTTAACAATTCTGTGTTTCTTTTAATAAGCATCTTGGTCCAGTTTTCAAAATACTAGGCATACACACATAGATATATGTCAGACCTTCATTCAAACTTCTTTCATGTTTCAAACCTTAATATAATGGGGATTATTCAGTTATTCGTTAGCCATCCTGAGGCCTAACTATAGGAGAGGCCATTTCAGTTGGCCATACTTTTTTTTCCCAGTTTAGAATTTCTGAGGGGGCAGTAGATAATGACAGTTAATTGCTCACATTTTTGCTTCTCCAAGATAAATCCTGTCTGATTCAGGTGTTGGTTAAATTAGAGAGCTTGTCTTCCCCTGTGTCAGTGTAGATTTTTTGAATTGCTTTAGCCAGTATTCCAAATAGCATATGTCATTGATCCAAGGGTAGACCATTTTCCTGGAAGACCCCTTGCCTGTCCAAAAGCTAATTTACAGAGCGTGGCAACCCCCAGGGTCTGAGAGCGTCTTCAGTTTGGGGGAATTGATTTTCCCTTGTAGTTAAACTACTGTTGTTGTTGCTGCTATTTATAATTTAAAAATTTATAAAACTTAATTTATAAGCATGCCCCAGGGCTCTTAGGTAATCAAGTAAGTCTTTCCTGAGTTCAGAATTCTGTAAGCCTCACAAAATGGCAGGAGCCTAAGGCTGTTTAAAAAGAACAAGCCTTTGCTTTTTGCAATGCTGTCAAGATTCGTTGTACCATAGTTACTACAGAGGAAAAAAAGAATTTTGAATTCGGAATGTTGCAAGTAGATAATCCGAAAAGTGCTATTCCATGCTACAGTGCTGCTTTATTTAGAACTTTTAGTTATTGGCAGGAGAATGATAAATTATAGGTTGTGATTTTAGCTGTCTTCTGCCAAGCAATTTAGGAAAAAAATTTAATATAAAAAGACTTTTTGAGTTGCAACAATTTTTTTTTTAAGGTCAGCCTCTCAAAGGCATTTACTAAATCTCTCAGTGTGTTAAATACTGTTCAGAGTAAGTACAGTGCTTTAGGATCCTTTCTGATAGCTTTTTTTAGAGTTAATATATTCATATCAAATTAACTTGTGTGCTACTTACTTTTTCCTAAACTGAAACTCATATTCCAAACTGCTACCTACTTCCCAAGTAGCATCTGTATTGGAGAGAAAAAGTGGTGTAAAAATGAGCTGATAGAGAAACATGAGAAAGTATAATCGTTTCAGCTAGAGTTTAACCCAAGCATTTGAGTTAATGTGTGTATCTTGGGATTTTAAAGTATCTTAAGTTGTACCTAACTTTGTTAGAAACACTGGTTTAGGTGGATTTGATTCCTTAGGTGTTTACATTTAGTCCTGAGCACATTGGTGGGGAGGACTGTAGAGCACCCAGATTTTAGATGTGGATTTTTTCTTTGGGAATCCATTAATATCCATTTGATACCTCCAAAGCAGCCTTACAGGTTAAGTTAGCACATCTTTGGAGACAAATTTCATTTCGTGACATGCTGGCTTTGTCCTCTTGGTAATTTCATTCTATCTCTCTGAACCTCAGTTTCTCTTACCTGTGTTTACCAAATGGACACTAGTAGTACTTACTTCAGAAGATTGTTAAAAAGCTAGAATAGGTCTAGTTAGGTAAGTGTAATTATGTCTAGTAGACTTTATTCATATTTATTAAAAATTCATTTGGGGCCGGGCGCGGTGGCTCAAGCCTGTAATCCCAGCACTTTGGGAGGCCGAGACGGGTGGATCACGAGGTCAGGAGATCGAGACCATCCTGGCTAACTCGGTGAAACCCCGTCTCTACCAAAAAATACAAAAAACTAGCCGGGCGAGGTGGCGGGCGCCTGTAGTCCCAGCTACTCGGGAGGCTGAGGCAGGAGAATGGCGTAAACCCGGGAGGCGGAGCTTGCAGTGAGCTGAGATCCGGCCACTGCACTCCAGCCTGGGCAACAAAGCAAGACTCCGTCTCAAAAAAAAAAAAAAAAAAAAAAATTCATTTGGGGGGACAAACAGTAAATAACAAGTTGACTACAATTACTGATTCTAGATGCTATAATTAAAACAAATATAAATCAAAACAGATAAGCCTCTATTCTACTGCTAACTGCTTCACCTGGAAAAGTTTTTTTTTTTGTTTAAAAAAGGAAAGAATGTTTTGTAGTCATTTAAATCAGTTACCATGGGACGGCAACAATTTCTATGAAATTAACAGTATCAACCAGTTCTGTACATAGCAGAATAGATTAGGAGGGGCCCTGTTTGGTTAGGAACTGCCCTTTTTTTTAATGGAAATTAAAGTACTTTCTTTTTTTTTTTTTTTGAGACGGAGTCTCGCTCAGTCGCCCAGGCTGGAGTACAGTGGCTGGATCTCAGCTCACTGCAAGCTCCGTCTCCCAGGTTTATGCCATTCTCCTGCCTCAGCCTCCTGAGTAGCTGGGACTACAGGCGCCCGCCACCTCGCCTGGCTAGTTTTTTGTATTTTTAGTAGAGACGGGGTTTCACCGTGTTAGGCAGGATGGTCTCGATCTCCTGACCTCGTGATCCGCCCGTCTCAGCCTCCCAAAGTGCTGGGATTACAGGCTTGAGCCACCGTGCCCGGCCTAGTACTTTCTAAATGACTTCTACTTGTAGGTGTACTTAAACTCTAGACAAAATAATTATTTTACTTCATTAATAATAGTTACCATATTTATTTTTCCAAAATATAGCTATGTAACAATAGAGGCAATAGGACACTAACACTGATACAACTTTACAGAAAACATGAAATACTTATGGATAAATCTAACAAAATATGTGTAAGATTTATATGATGGAAACTACAAATCACTGAAGAGAGAAATCAAGAAGACCCAAGTAAATAGAGATACTTCTGTGTTCATGGATTGCAAGGCTCAGTACTGAGATGTCATTCTCTCCAAAACTGATCTATAAATTCAATACAATCCCAATCAGTGTTTCCTAAGGCTTTTTGTGGAAATTGACAAATTGATTCTAAAATTTATATAGAGAAAGGAAGTAAAATAACCAAAATAATTTTGAAAAGCAACAAAGTTTAAGGATTTACCCTATCTATTTCCAATACTTTAAAGCTACAGTGATCAAAACAGTGTGGTGTTGGCAAAACAAGAGATATAAATCAGCAGAAGAAAGAGTCCAGAATTAGACCCACACACATATGGACAATTGATTTTTTAACAAGGGCATCAAAGCCATTCACTGTATGATAGAAAAGACAGTTTTTATCAACAAACAGTATTGGAACAGTTGAACATATACAGAAAGTAAACTTCAACCCATATCTCACACTATATATAAAAATTAGCATAAAATGGATTGTAAACCTATATATAAAATCTAAAACTGTAAAAATTCGAAAAGAAAATCTTTAGTCATTAGGGAAATGCAAATTAAATCTACCGTAAGATGCCACTATGCATCTATTAAGACAGCGTAAACGAGAAAAAAAGCAAACAAAAACCCATCAAATGCAGCAACTGAAACTCTTGGATATCATTTGTGCAAATATGAAATGGTAGCCACTTTAGAAAATGGTTTGGCAGTTTCTTATAAAATTAAACATATACTTACCATAGGAGCAGCAATCACACTTATAGGTATTTATTCAAAAGAAATGAAGACATTTGTCCATATAAAAACCCATACATGAATATTTATAGTATCTTTATTCCTAACTGCCAAAAACTGGGAACAATGCCAATGTCCATCAACTGCTGAATGGATAAACAAATTCTAGTACATCCATACAATGGAATATTGATAGTCTATTGATACATCCATTCATAAACAATAGTGTAAATGAATCTCAAGCTCATGCTAAGGAAAAAAGCTGAACTGGAAAGGCTCCATACTTTTCAATTCTATTTTATGACATTCTGGGAAAGGCAAAACTCTAGACACAGAAAACATAGTAATTGTCAGGAGCTGAAGGTGTGGGGAGTGGGTTGGCTACAGAGGGTTATGAAGGAAGTTTTTGGGATGTTGAAAATGTTATATATATTTGTTATGGTGGTAGTTATATGACTGTAGCATTTGTCAAAATGTGTAAAACAGTGTACCTAAAAGTATGAATTTTACTGTGTATATATCATACCCTAATAAATCTAACTTTAAAAAAGAAGTTACACTTCCAGTTTCCAGTTCCACATGTAAGGAGCTTGAAAGTTGTCACTCTGTCCTAACAATAAATAAAAAGCTGAACAACCTGAAAACTCAGCAACTCTTCTTGTATCTGAAGGAGAAGGGAGGACATAGGGCAGACTGCTGCCCCCAAGATTGGAGAGACAGGTGAATACAGGGGATTTTGACTTAACAAAGACACATACTGGAAACCACTTTGGAAACCAGTGTCAGGGTAGGAAAACCTGAACTGTAATTGATAAATTGCTGAAGCTCAGTGTGATTAGCTCTGAGAGGAGTCCCAGTCTCCTGGGATCCAGTCATAATGAGTCCCCCACAATATTGTGAGATATACCTCCAGGAGCTCAACCAGGAACTCACAATAAATATCAGAGAAAAATCGCCTTATACTTCTGGCACTGGTGGGGAAAAGGAACCATTTTGAAATATGCCACAGTATTCTGTTCTTCTTAACAAGGCCTGTCCTCAGGAGAAACAAGCTAACCAGAGCCCAACCTGCTGGAGCATTATGAAGGTTTAATTTACTGGGGAAGGGAAATACTTAATTCTACTCAGCTGCAGCCTTGCATGTGGGAGAAGGGAAAAAGCCAATTCCAGCCTACTCTAGCCATTCTGTCCCACCTAAGGGAAGAGAAAAAACTGAGAAACACTTACAAAGTTCAAAGTCCAGAGACATAGTCTCATTAAAGCCTGAGACCTGATCATTGCTTCCCCTCCCTTCACACATTACCCCTACAGTACTAAAGGCCTATTTACTAGCAGTTCATTATACCTGGTATGTCATATCAGATTACCAATTACAAGGCATACTAAAAGGCAAAAAATACAATTCAAAGACAGAGCAAGCATCAGAGCCGGATGTGGTAGAGATGTTTGAATTAGCTGACTGGGAATTAAAACAATGATGATTAATATCCTAAGGAGTCTAATCGATAAAGCAGACAGCATACAAGAACAGATGGGTACTATAAGCAGAGAAATGGAAGTCCTAACAAAGAATCAAAAAGAAGTGCTAGAGGTCAAAGATACTAACAGGAATGACGAATGCCTTTGATGGGCTTACTAGTAGACTGGACATAGCTGAGGAAAGAACCTTTGAGCTGGATGATAATAGAAACTTTGAAAAGCAAAAAGCAAAGAGAAAAAGGGAAAAGCAGAATATCCCCGGGCTCTGGGACAACTACAAAAGATGTACTTATAATGGAAATATCAGAAAGAAAAGAGAGAAGAAATATTTGAAACAGTAATAACTGATAATTTCTCCAGATTAGTGTCAGACGCCAAACCACAGATTCAGCAAGCTCTGAGAACACCACACAGAATGAATACCAAAGAAATCACACTGAAGCATATCATTTCCAAATTACAGAAAATCAGATAAAGAAAAAAATCCCAAAAGAAGCCAGAGGACAAGAGGACTTAACTTACAGAAGAAAAAAGATAAGAATTATATCCAACGTCTCCTCAGAAATCATGCAAGTAAAGGAGAGTGGAGTGGAAAATTTAAAGTATTGAGAGGAAAAGGCTACCATCCTAGAATTCTGTACCCTGCAAAATTATCCTTCACAAGAAAAGGAGAAGTAGACTTTCTCAGACAAACAAAAATAGAGGGAATTTATCTATCTTGCCAGAAATGTTAAAAGAAGTTCTTTGGAGAGAAGAAAAATGGTAAAGGTAAAAAATTTGGCTCTATGTAAAGAATGGAAGGCCACTGAAGAAATAAGTAAGGTAAAATAAAATCTTTCATTTTTCGTAATTGATCTAACAGATGACAGTTTGTTCAAAACAACAGTAACAACAATGTATTCACTTGTGCATGCTTATGTATATGTCATATGTTTTTAAATATAAGTGAAATGACAGCAATGATACAAGAGAGAAATTAGAATTATTTTATTATATCAAATAAATATACTCACACTACCAATGGAGTGATATAGTGTTACTTGAAAAGACTTGGATTCATTGTATATGTATATTCCAACCACTAATGAAAGTTAAAAAGGAGTGTAACTGATATACTAAGACACGAGAGAAAATGGAACTGTATAAAATGTTCAGTTAGAATCACAAAAGGCAAAAAAAAAAAAAAAACAAAAATAGGAGGAAAGAAAAGTGTAACAACTAGAAAAAGCAAATATGGTAGATATTAGTGCAACTGTTTCAATAATCTCTTGGAATATCTGTGGTCTAAATGTACAATTAAAAGATAGTGATTGTCAGAGTGCATAAAAAACGAGACCCAGTTTATATGTTGTCTTTAAGAAACTAACTAAATATAAAGACACTTGCAGATTAAAAGTAAATGGCTGAAGAAAAAAGTACCATGTTAACATTAATAAAGAGAAAACAAGGTTATCTATATCAATTTCAGACAGAGCAGACTTCAAAGCAAGGGAAGTTATCAGGGATAAAGAAGAGCATTACATGATGATAAGGGGATTAGTTATTCAAGAAGATGAACCAGTCCTTTAAGTGTATGTGCCTAACAACACAATGTCAAACTACATGAGGCAAAAACCAGTGGAACTGCAAGATGAATTCACTACCATAGTTGGAGACTTCAAGATCCCTCTATCAGAAATGGACAGATCCAGCAGGCAGAAGATCAGTGAGGACATCAGTCAAAAAGGTACAGTTGATACCTAGACTCCTTCATCCAACAACAACAGAATACACATTCTGTACAAGCTCACATGGACCATTCACTAAGACCGCATTCTGGGCCATAAAACACACCCTAACAGATTTTTAAAAATGGAAATCACACACTGTCTGCTCTTAGGCACATGGAATTAAACTAGAAATCAGTAACAGAAAGATAACTAGAAAATTCCTAAATCCATGGAGATTATAAAACATGCCTCAAAATAACACATGGATCAAAGAAGTCTCAAGAGAAATTTAAAAATATTTTGAACTGAGAGAAAATGAAAACACAACTTATCAAAAGTTGTGAGATGCAGCAAAAGCATGGCTTAGAAATTTGTAGCATTAATTGTATATATTAGAAAAGAAGAAAGATCAATAATTTAAGCTTCCCCCTTTGGAAACAAGAAAAAGAAGAGCAAATTAAATCCAAAGTAAACAGAAGAGCAGAATACAGTTTTCCCTTAGTATCAATGGGGGTTGGTCCCAGGACCTTCCAAGGAGACCAAAATCCACAGATGTTCAAGTTTCCAATATAAAATGAAGTACCATTTGCATATGACCTATGCACATCCTCCCATATATTTTAAATCACCGCTAAATTACTCATACCTAATATGATATAAATGCTATGTAAATAATTGTTATACTGTATTGTTTAGGGAATCATGACAAGAAAATGTCTAGTATTCCGTATAGATACAATGTTTAAAAAAATAATTTTCATCCAGTTGGTTGAATCCATGAATGCAGAACTCACAGATGTGGAGGGCTGACTGTAATACAAATTAGAGCAGAAATCAATGAAATTGAAAACAGGAAATCAAGAAAAGAAATCAGTCCAAAAGCTGGTTCTTTGAAAAGATCAATAAAATCAGTAAGTTTCTAGTCAGGCTAAGAAAAAAGGATACAAATTACTAATACTAAAAATGAAAGAGAGGACATCACTGCAGAGGCTATCGCTCGTAATACTATGGACACTATAAAGATAATAAAGCAATAGTGTGAACAACTCCATACCCCAAAATTGGATAACTTAGATGAAATGAACCAATTCTTTGAAAGACACAATTTGCCAAAACTCACACAGGAAAAAATAACCTGTAGGTGAATGGATTAATAAAGTGTGGTACATTCAGACAATGGAATATTATCCAACAATAAAAAGAATTGAGGTATCAAGCCATGAAATATGAAAACACCTCAAGTGCAGTTATTAAGTGAAATAAGTCAGTCTGAAAAAACTACATACTGTATGATTTTAATTATATGACATTTTAAAACGCAAAACTATGGAGACAATAAAAAGATCAGTGGTTGCCAGGGGTTAAGGTTCAGGTATAAAAAGCTGGAGCACAGAGGATTTTTAAGGCAGTGGAAATGCTCTGTGTGATACTCTAATGGTATATACATGTCATTATACATTTATCCGGACCTACAGAATGTACAACACTAACAGTGAACCCTAGTGCAAACTGTGGACTTTTAAAATTTTAAGTTCCGAGATACATGTGCAGAACATGCAGGTTTGTTACATAGGTAAACATGTGTCATGGTGGTTTGCTGCACCCATCAACCCGTCACCTGGGTTTTAAGCCCCACATGCATTAGCTATTTGTCCTGATGCTCTTCCTCCCTCCGCCTCACCCCCAAAACAGGCCCTGGTGTGTGTCGTTCCCCGCCCTGTGTCTGTGTGTTCTCATTGTTCAGCTCCACTTACCGGCAGGAACATGCAGTGTTTGGTTTTCTGTTCCTATGTTACAAACTGTGGACTTTGGTTGGTAATGATGTGTCAATGTAGGTTCATTAATTGTAACAAATGTACCATGTTGGTGGAGATGTTGATACTAGGGAAGGCTGTGCATATGTCGGGGAGCAGTATATGGGAAATCCCTGTACCTTCCCCAATTTTGCTATGAACCTAAGACTGCTCTAAGAAAACAAAGTCTTCAAAAAAAGTTTTAAAAAAATCTCAGAAGTTCTTTCAAACTTAGATAATTCAACTTGTTTAGGTAAGCATTAAGGAAAAGCTGTTAGTTTCTCCTTAGTTTGGATAACATTGATATGGACATTCTGTGGTTATTCTTTCTCATCATTCATTCTAATTGTATATTGACACTTGTATCCCACCATTAAAATGCATTGACTTAGGACAATTTGAATATCAATAAGGCAAATAACTAATGTATTAAGATGTATCAAATATATTTAAATCACCGAATGAGGTCATAGTGATACTAGGTAAATAAAAATGAAAAACTGGTCACTTTTGGAGGATACTAGGAAATCAACTTATTTTGAAAACTGATTTTTAAAAAGTTTAAAAAGTATTCTGACTTTCTTATATGACCAACATTTCAGGATATCCAAATTATGAATGAGGGAAAGTTTCTCTTTGCAGACCAGATAATAAACTAGCAGGAATAATAGAATTAAAAGATTACCAGTTTGCAAGTCTATTAATTACTCTAGGCAATGATTATTGATCATTTCCACCATCACAAAAGGAGAGTCAAGCAGATACCATGTACTTGTGGTGGAAGTACGTACCACCATGTGGACTATTTTTGCCAAAAGCTTAAAGCCAAGTATGTTACAGATTTTCTCTCCTAGACAAGGTTTTCAGAAAATACAGGGAATGGAGATGCATGTTAATACCATAGGGATTCAATCAGTAAAATCCAAACCTTAGAAACTCAGTAAGATAACAACGTGTTTCCTCAAGTAGGGAAGAGAAGAGGAGAGGGACTCTATAAATTCGAAGAGACCTGAAATCTATAAGCCAATTGCAATTAATACATCTTATTTGGATCCTGATTTGAACAAAGAAACTAAAATACTTATGAATTAATTGGGGAAATTTGAATGTTGACTAAGTATATTTTTATATAAATGAATTATTTAATGTTTTAGGTATGAAAATAATATTTCACATTTTTTTAAAAAAGTTTTTGTCTTTTGGAGTACATAATAATTTATGGATGAAGTGTTAAAATATCTAGGATTGCTTTAATTGATACAGAGTAGGGGGCAATGAGTGGGGGATATAGAAGGAAATAAGATTGGCCATGAGTTGGTAATTGTTGAGGCTGGATGAGGAATGTATGGGTTCATGGTATAATCATTTGTACTCTTGTATATGCTGGAAATTTTACAGAATAAAGTAATACATTCAGCAAATGTTAAATGCTTATTATGTGCCATGCACTGTGCTAGGTGTAGGTTTTATATTGGTCAATACATGGGTGTAACTTATCACTAACCTTGTAGAACTTTTGATCTCCAGAGGAGACAGATGGTAAATAAAGAAATACATATCCTAAATTGTGATCTGTCTACTGTGGAGAGTTATGAGTGCAGTTCAGTGATGGAGATTAGGGAAGGACATCCATCTAGGTTGGCTGGGATAGGCCTCTCTGAGGTGGTGATAGTTCAGCTCAGATCTGAAGGAAGAGAATAGCCAGCCATGAGCAGAGACTGCAGACTGTTTCCAGGAGGGGTGGGCATGCTGGGCAAGGAAGTGCTTGATGTGGGTGCACTCGTTTGCTCTGAGAGACAGCAATATCTTACTGTGTAGCCACTTGTTGATTCAAAATTTCTTTTGTGCACTATTGTATGTTTGTGTGTCTAACCTTGGATCTAATAAATGACAAACTCTAGAACTGCTTCTCAGCCTGGCATAGTTTCACATGTGCTACATGGATGTCAATAGTACATACCTTTTGATGAATAATTTTTTTAACCTATAGACTTTCCAAATGACTCTTAGAATGTGGATAAGAATGTGTTTAAAATAATCAACAATTAAAATGAAGTGCATCCTAGTAGTCCTGGAAAAGAACAGAAATATGTCTCAGGTTCTGGATTATATTTTGCTAAGATAACTATAACAAGTCCTGCCCTTTAGTTACCCTTCTGACTGTTAGAGCAAGAATAAATATTGTTTTTGGAAATGCCTGAATTTTTTACAATGAATAAAAAATGTTATTATTATTTAAGTATCATATTCTCCAATGGTAAATAGGAGTTAGGCACAATGTAGAGATTCAGTAAATGTTAAATGAATAAATGATTGGTGTCTTGTATGAACTTCTCCTTGCCAAAGCTTTCTCTTTGAGTCCCTATAAACTACTAGTACTTTGGGCAAGAGGAAGAGAGAGAGGGGGAGAGAGAGAGAAGGGGGGAGAGAGAGAGAGGTGTGTGTGTGTTTGTGCATGAGTGCATGTGGCAGTGTGGCGGGGGAGATGTTGCCTCTTTTTCACAATATGATCATTTCCTTCTCTCTTTTAGACATATTACTGATGCCACACTTGCCATTGTGAAAGGAGAGACAGTTCCACTTGATGTCTTGCAGATCAAGGTAAATCTTTTCATCACATATTGAAAAAACTGTGAAAGTAATACTTACATTTTAAAGAAAATAAACTGTAGCAGTTCAAATGAGGTCATAATGAAAACAATAGTTGCTCTTCCATTCCTACCCCAAGTATTAGTCCCCAGAGAAAATTAATTTTACCTGTTAATTCTAGTTGTTATCACTAATATGCTTTTGCTCCTATTTTTAAAATGTGGCTAAAAACATAATATTTACCATTGTAGTCATTTTTAAGTATACAGTTCAGTAGTGTTAAGTATACTTAACTACTTTTTTTTTTTTTTTGAGAAGGAGTCTTGGTCTGTCGCCCAGGCTGGAGTGCAGTGGCACAATCTCAGATCACTGCAACCTCTGCCTCCCGAGTTTAAGCAATTCTCCTGTCTCAGCGTCCCAAGTAGCTGAAATTACAGGCACCCACCTCCACACCTGGTTAATTTTAACTACTTTTTGATTTATCAGTTTTAGACCTTATCTTTGACCTCTTTGTTTTACAGGCATACCTCATTTTATTACACTTCACCTTATTGCATTTCACAGATATTGTGCTTTTTACGAATTGAACGTCTGTGGCAACCCTGCCCCAAGCAAGTCTACCAGTGTCATTTTTCCAACAGCACGTGCTCACGTCATGACTCTGTGTCACATTTTGGTAATCCTCACGATACCTCAAACTTTTTCATCTTACTATATTGTTATGGTGATCTGTGATCAGTGATCTTTGATGTTATTATTGTAATTGTTTGGGGCACCATGAATTGTGCCCACATATAATAGCAAACTTAATTAAATGTATGCGTTGACTGCTCCACCAAACAGCCATTTCCCTACCTGTCTCTGTTCCCTCTGACACAACAATATTGAAATTAGGCAAATTAATAACCCTACTTAGCCTCTAAGTGTTCACATAAAGAAGAGACACCTGTCTCTCACTTTAAATCAAAAGCTAGAGATGAGGCCAGGCACGGTGGCTCACACCTGTAATTCCAGCACTTTGGGAGGTCATGGCAGGCAGATCACTTGAGGTCAGGAGTTCAAGACCAGCCTGGCCAACATGGTGAAACCCCATCTCTACTAAAAATACAAAAATTAGCTGGGCATTTAAAAAAAAAAAAGCTAGGAATAGTTATGCTTAGTAAGAAGGCATGTTAAAAGTTGAGATAGGCTGAAAACTAGGCCTCATGCCAAATAGCCAAGTTGTAAATGCAAAGGAAAAGTTCTTGAAGGAACTTCAAGTGCTACTACACTGAGCATATGAATGATAAGAAAGTGTGGCCCGGTGCAGTGGCTCACACCTGTAATTGCAGCACTTTGGGAGGCTGAGGTGGGTGGATCACCTGACGTTGGGAGTTAGAGACCAGCCTGATCAACGTGGAGAAACCCCTTCTCTAGTAAAAATACAAAATTAGTTGGGTGTGGTGGCGCATGCCTGTAATCTCAGGTACTTGGGAGGCTGAGGCAGGAGAATTGCTTGAACCCGGGAGGCAGAGGTTGCGGTAAGCCAAGATCGCATTGTTGCACTCCAGCCTGGGCAACAAGAGCGAAACTCCGTCTAAAAAGAAAGAAAGAAAGAAAGAAATTGAAGTAGCCATATTTCTGATGTGGAGAAAGTTTTAGTGGTCTGGTGGAAGACCAAATCAGCCACAACATTCCCTGAAGCCACAGCCTAATCCAGGGCAAGGCCCTAACTCTCTTCAATTTTATGAAGGCTAAGTTAAGTGAAGAGGCTGCAGAAGAAACGTTTAAACCTAACAGAGGTTGGTTCATGAGGTTTAAGGAAAGAAGCCCTCCTCCTAACATAAAGTGCAAGGTGGAGCAGCAGTTAGCTGATGGAGAGGGTGCTGCAAGTTATCCAGAAGATCTAGCTAAGATGATTGACAGAGGTACCCGTACTAAACAACAGATTTTCTGTGTAGACGAAACAGCCTTTTATTGGAAGAATGTGCCATCTCAGACTTTCATAGCTAGAGACAGGAAGTCAATGGCTGGCTTCAAAGTTTGGGACAGGCTGACTCTCTTGTTAAAAACTACTGAAGCTGGTGACTTTTAAGTTCAAGCCAGTGCTCATTTACCATTCCAAAAGTCCTAGGGCCTTTAAAAATTATGCTGCATCTACTCTGCTTGTGCTGTGTAACTGGAAGAACAAATCCTGGGTGATAGCACATCTGTTTACAGCATAGTTTACTGAATATTTCAGGCCCACTGTTGAGACCCACTGCTCAGAAAAAATAATTCCTATCAAAATATTACTGCTTATTAACAATGCACCTGACCACCCGAGAGCCCTGATGGATATGTACAAGGAGATTAATGTTTTCTTGCCTGCTAACAGACATTCATCCTGCATCTCACGGATCAAGGAATAATTTCAACTTTCAAGTTTTATTATTTAAGAAATAAATTGTGGACCAAAGGTCATCAATAGATGAACTACAGTCTTGGCAACAAAGTGAGACCCCATCTATAAAAAAAAACTTTGTAAAAAGTTAGACAGGCATGTCATAGATAGTGATTCATCTGATTTATCTGGGCAAAATAATTGAAAACCTTCTGGAAACGATTCACCATTCTAGATGCCATTACAAACACTGATGATTCATGGGAGGAGGTCAAAATAACAGTGTTAACAGAAGTTTGAAAGAAGTTGATTCCGACCCTCATGGATGACTTTAAGGGGTTCAAGATTTCAGTGGAGAAAGGAACTGCAGATGTAGTAGAAATAACAAGAGAACTGGAATTAGAAGTGGAACCTGAAGATGTGATTGAAATGCTGCAATCTTGTAAAATTTGAATTAAGAGTTGTTTCTTATGGATGGGCAAAGAAAGTGATTTCTTGAGATGGAATATACTTGTGGTGATGATGCCATGAACCTTGTTGAAATGACAAAAAAAGGATTTAAAATACTATGTAAACTTAGTTGACAAAGCATTGGCAGGGATTGAGAAGACTGACTCCAACTTTGGGAGAATTTCTGCTGTAAGTCACATGCTATCAAACTGCATATATCCTGCAGATAAATCTTTCATGATAAATCTTTCATGATGAGTCCGATATTGCAAACTTCATTGCTGTCTTACTTTAAGAAATTGTCCCATCCACCCCAACCTTCAGCAATCACCACCCTGATCAGTCAGCAGCCATCAACATAGAGGCAAGACCCTCCACAGCAAAAAGATTAGGACTTGCTGAAAGCTCAGATAATTGTTAGCATTTTTAAATTTAGCATTTAATGTTAGCATTTTTTTAAGTTAAGGTACATGCTTTTTTTGACGTAATGCTGTTGCACACTCAATAGACTAGTATAATATAAACATAACTTTTATATGCACTGGAAAACCAAAAAGTTCCTGTGACTCATTTTATTGCGATACTCACTTTATTGCAGTGGTCTGGAACCGAACCTGCAACATCTGTGAGATATATAAGAATTGCTCTCTATCTACGCTCAGTATAATTGTATTGCTATTTTTAGTTCCTTTATTTTATTTATTTGTTTTTTTGAGACAGGATCTCACTCTGTCACCGAGGCTGGAGTGCAGTGGCACGATCATAGCTCATTGCAACCTCAAACTCCTGGGCTCAAGGGATCTTCCTGCTTCAGCCTCCTAAGTAGCTAGGACTACAGACCCACACCACCATGCCTGTCTAATTTTTTACAAAGATTTTTTTGTATAGATGGGGTCTCACTTTGTTGCCCAGGCTGTAGTTCATCTATTTATGACCCTTGGTCCACAAGTAGTTCATCTACCTCATATGGTTGTCTTGAATATTAAAAGAGTTAATAAATATAAACAAATATAAAATATTTAGGATAGTGATTTTTACCTGTGTGTATGGTGGCCACCTCTTCCTCTCATGCCCTGCCAAAGGTGAAACTGTTCTCATATCTCATCACCCTATTAGAGTAGCTTGTCTTTTTTTGAATTCATGTTAGTTGGTCATCTTGCAATCTTAGCTCTCTGATAAGCTTTTTTAAAGTTATGATTTTGTAGAGTATCTGGCTTTTTCTCATTTTTAGGGTGGGACAGTGTTCTTTGTACTTTCCTACATGCTAGGTGGGAATAGAATTTTCCATTTTTCTTATTAATTGTGTAATGTTTTCTTACTGATTTATACATGAACTGATGAATTATATTAGACATATATTTTTTAAAAAGACTTAGAAGCAATGATACCTAATAGCAGTGATCATATTTGGCACCTAGAAGGTGGCTTTCAATACCATTCTCAATAAAAATAACCAAGGCTCTGTGAAGGGATGGCTTTCATAGGGCAATAACAAGGCAGGAAAGTACTCAAAAGCTGATGGAGATATCACAAAAGATGTAGTCTTCAGGTGTCCTACTCGCCAATTTTGGGACTCTTTGAATATTACAAAGAACAATAATGCTGATGAATCATAATGCCTTAAAAATGAAGAATCCATGAGTTTTCATTGCCAGTTTGTAAACGCAGAAGGAATGATAGAAAATCTCCATTTTAAAAATCACCTGTGTAATAATTGATTGAGGTAGAGATCATCAGTGAATACTAAAACCATTGGATAAAAGATTGTTGGTAAACAAAGTCCACAGTCTCAAAGTATCTCAGATTACTTAATAATTTAAAAGGGAAAATAGACTTTGATAGTGGAGAAATCTAGCATATGTTACTTTAACCGAGTGATCAAACTTAGCATCGCGAATAATGGATACACTGATGTCGTCTGCCTCCTGATGTGATATATTGAGAAGGATATAACATCACCTATGTATTTTGCTGCACAAAGTATTAACTAACTGAATATATCATGAATAATTAGACAAATCCAAATTCTAAAAACAAAAATTGGACTCATCAAAAAATGGCAATGTCATGAAATCCAAAAGAAGTTAGACAGTCTGTTCAGGATTAAGGAATACTAAAGAAATAATTAACTGCAGTACAAGAGCCTGAATTGGAAAAATGAGAAACAATGGCAATCCATAAAGGGCATTACTGGAACAAT